GAGTCATATATCTGCAAATCTTTTTCTGCCTTCCACGGTGGTTGATGCTTCACAACATAGAGCATCTCCATCATCTGAAGTGTTTGCGGTACTGCCTTGTGGGTTGGAGTTTTTATTTAGACTCCAACAATCCTTCTTCAAGTGACCATTCTTTCAACAGTTGTAGCACTTTAAATTCTTCTTGCTCCTCGACTTCGATCTACCATGTTTGTGACTGTTGCTTTGGCCACGTTCTGTTGATCTCCCTCTCATCGTTGTCATCGTTATCAATGCTTTTGCTTGTTGCAGATTTACTTGTCTGGTTTCCTTGTTTTTTTGTCGATTTTCTTCTTGTAGAACAACATCTGCAACATCATCGAAGACTAGACTGGTGACATTATTGTTTTTCAAGTTGATGATGAGTTGATCATACGAATCAGGTAGACTTTGAAGTAGAAGTTCAACACGTTCTTGTTCTCATATTTTACAGCTTAAGGATATAAGCTGAGAAAATAAAGTGTTCAGTGTATTTAAGTGCTCCGTCACTTAAGTAGATTATGGCATACGAAGAGTGTACAATTTTCTCTTAAGGAAAATTTTATTGTGCAGCGATGTGGCCTCATACAATTTGGTGAGATGATCCCATATCTCTTTAGTTGTCTTCTTCTCCTCGATGCTTGACAATACTTCATCTGCTAATGCTATATGAAAGTTTGCCATAACATTCCCGTCCATTTCGATCCATTTGTTGTCATCTGTGAAATCCACCGGCCTTTCACTGATAGCTTCTAGACAACCGTCTTTCCTCAGGATGACCTTCATCTTCAATTTCCACAATGAGAAATTTCTCCCATTGAATTTTTCAATATCAAATTTTGTTGCCATAGCTTCTTTTACGGATAGCTCCCACTATTTCACTATCGTGAATAGTTCTCTGAAACCTTCAAAGAATGAGTAATAACTTCTTACTTTCTTATGTTTGAGGATCCACATTTTGATGGCAACCACAAAGATAATAAGCAGATATTACACACTCAAATCTGGCTCAGATACCAACTGTTGCGGAATACGACTATTAGATAGAGCAAAATCGCAACTGATAATTTAAGAAAATAAAAAAGAAGATAAAAGAGACACAAAATTTACGTAGAAAACCCCTAAATAATATATGGTAAAAACCACGGACAACGGTAGAAGAATTTCACTATGAGAAAATAGGAATTACAACTTCTCTCGATCTACCAAGGAGAAAACAATGATAATTCACTCTTGATAAAAAGGAGAAAACAACTCTCAAGAAACTCTACAAATTCTCTCTAATATTGGAAGAAAGCTAGAATGCTTTTGGATAATTTTGAAGCTAAATGAGATAGGGTATTTATAGTTGAAGCTTAAAGACTAATCTTATAAATACCCTAAAGTACAATGACTAAATTGAATTATACCATTTCTCAAATTCAACAAAAAACAACTACCTAATTTTCGGTGCCTACCTTGCTGAAAATTTCAATTCTTCTTTCTTCTTTTTTTCTACACAATTCATGCACCGAAATCACACACAACTTGTTTGGCTTTTCCACATTTTTTGCGTGGAAGGCCTCCTGTGGCTACTGTGTGGACTGTTTTGCTACATTCTACTATTATATAGATAGGGAGTCTTTTCTTCTTTGCTGGCGGGATCATATGACTTCATATAGGTTGATGTGGTTTAGATGGGGATTATATTTCAATGTAGTGTGATGTTAGTAATATTGTGGTGGCCTGCGTGTATCCCAACTTTATGTTTGTATGGCCTCAGGGGATATGGTGTATCTGAGTGTCTGAAGCTTTATTGTTGTTTTTTTATTTGCCCCGAGTCAAGAGTACTAGTTTTCTCCATTTAAGTTTAAGGAGGTTTTTAACGATGCTTTTGACTTAGGCTCGATTAATAAAATTCATTTTGTTGAGAAAAAAAAGTTCGTGAATCTCATTAAGTATTTTTATTTTAATTAGCATTAAAAATATTCAATTTGAATTTAAATATAAATAGCCCAACTTGAATTTAAATATAAATAGCCCAACTTGAATTTAAGCATGGGATTCGAACTCATTTTAGCTGAGTGAGTAGCATTAGATTAATAAATCAAAATTAAATTTTATAAGTTCAAACTAAATATAACAGTGGTAAAACTCAAGCAAGAGAAATGAAAAATTGCTTTCTCGTATATTTACAAATAATAAAAAACATTTGTGATATAAAATAATTTTTTAATTTTTTACATAATATTCAAAGCAATATTAATATATATATAACACTTTTTTTAAGTTTACAATATTAAAAGGTATAAAAATATCACAAGTAGAGATGTGCATGGGTCGGATTGGGTCAGGTTTTTGGACCACCCGACCCGACCCGAGAAGAAAGGGTATTCCACCCGTAACCCGACCCGACGAAATTATAATTTCACCCGACCCGACCCGATAGACAATTTAAAAAACCCTACCCGACCCGATTTAATTTTTTATTTATTAAAACCCACAAATTTTTTATTTTAAAATATAAAAAATACCTAAAATAATTGTTGGAACTCACACCCTAATATCACGTTTGTCCCGTATTTTGCATAGTTTGGTTTCTTCACCGGCCCTCGAAGCTCGAACCATGTCAGTTCTTTTAGACGCAAGCACCAGTGCACTACTGACCAACAAGGTCCTAAAGAGACCGGTTGATCCCACATTTTGATTAAAATAAAAAAGAGAAAAAAAACGTGAAAAAATCATTAAAATGAGTTAAAATAATAGTCAAAACAGAACCGACGATTCAAACTGATTTTGTCGGTTCCTAACCGGTTCACACTGATTCTACCGGTTTATTGAAGAACTGGTTTTGGAAGCTGTTCGAACCGGACAAGCAACTGATTCCCGGTTCAACCGATCGAACCGACTGGCCCGATCCAATTTTGATAACCATGGTATATATACAACCATGCTAACCAACATGCCTAACAGCTAAACTAACACTCATAACAAAATAAAACCGTCTCTGACTAACAATAATATTATATATCATAATACTAAACTTCAATTTCTTGCTCAACTGCCAAGTGCCAACTAAACTTGTCCATCGTTCTAAGTTGTTAGCATTTATGTTCTTCGTGATTGAAGTAATTTTTCCCAGTATTTTCAGATCATCATTATAAATAGGGATATATTGAGGGGTGTTACCTCCTTTAAAATTTTAAATTCTTATATATTTTAAATATTTTTTTGTATTAATTTACTTCTTATAAAATAAATATGCATACCTTCAAAATTTTATTAATTCATCCCCTAACATAAAATATTTCGTATGTCTCTAATTATAAACCCTATCTTTTAAATGCTTTAACAATGGTAAGAGCGAGCGCCATGCGTCTCTCTTCTCTTGAGCTTTCAAAAAGTAGAAAACTCAATACAATCATGGACAGCATGCTATTTTTCATTGATCCGTTTGAAGATACAGTATCCAGTGATGATTGTGGACAATTATATGATATGCCAAAAAATTATTCAAGAATAATTTTAAGGATATAATAAAACCTTACATCTCCTGTTCAACTAAAAGGGAAGGAAACTAAATTCTAATAATTTTCATTAGAATTTCATGTCGGTAGAGCTTTCTTCTTCCTCACGATTATATTAAATCCTGGCCATGTTCATTATAAAAAGTGTATTGAAAGATTGGAAGCTTTGTTGTGAGCGGTGGCAAGTTGATGTGGTTATAAAAACCGGCCCATCAAGTTTGCAGCAATCGATAAACGTGAGATATCGTCGTCTTTTATCAATACATGCATTTTTATCTCTGTCGTCTTCATCAACAATTAACTACTTCTACTCGTCAAATAATAAAAGTTTTATCCAATATATGCTTCACATGGAAGTAATGGTGATCAACCAGGAAGTATTTGATTCATATGGAAGACACCAAGGTGGAGTTGGTGTGGACCAGAATTAAGGACAGTCATTTGACATGAATTCGATGACTGTCGACCTAATCCAATTATAGGAGTATATAGATATTTATGTCGGGATGCGTGTTTTAAGCCTAAAGGTTGAAACCAACGTCAAGGTTTTGGGTTAATATGATGATTTCATCACCAGAGAAACTCAAGGTTGGGGACAGAGACGAAGACGGCAGCATCAACGTTGGTAAACTATTTGGCATTCAGTCATTGGTATTGCATGCAGTGGATTTTTTCTTATTGTCGAGGGTGCAACGGTGGTTTAGAAGAAAGGAGCAAAAACATGGCGATGATGAATAAGAAATGAACAAAAGCATGCTTTTGGGTCAATTTTTGATTTTAGTCCCTGAACTAAATTTAACTTAAAAATTAAATCTCACTCTTTAATTTTTTTTTAATTTTCTAATTTAATTTAAGAACTTTATTCTTTCCTATGTTGACTAATTATTGGGTGCAAGTGAAATGTTAGCAGGCAATTTTTGAAGAAAAAAAGCTTTAAGGGAGAATATGAGAACTCAAGTATAGTTTAGGAGCAAAGCCTGGGTATAAGTTGTAAATTTAGTTCATATAATTTACATTAGTTCTTTTTAATTTTTATAATTTTAAATTGTATTTTTATCTAAACAATAATTGTGAAATCTTTCAAATTAGATTAATTTATTAATTCATATATTATACCTTAGTTATAGATTTAGTTCATGTTCTTCAAATTAATAAATTTAAGTATGTAATTTAATTATATTATATATTTATTATTTAATTAAATATTAAAATTTTTATTAAAATTATAAATTAAAATTTATTTAATTAAATATAAATATTAAATGAATAATTATATATAATGCAAATACTAATCAGAGTAAAAAGAAGGAAAGATAGTATTAAAGAAATAAAAAAGGAAAGAACTAATATGGATAAAGATATGGGCCATAACTGAATTATATCTGGAGGCCTGGTCTCATAAAGAGAGAGAAGGGGTAAAAGAGTCATATAACTTATCACAGACTGTCGCTTCTATATATACCTTCATGTACAAAATCTAGGGTATAAAATGCCCCAAATCGTCTCCGCCCAAAAGAAATATAATTTTCCCCTTTCACATAATTGAACGTTGAACTTCTGAAAATTCTTCAAAGCTCCAACATATCCAGACATCCGCAATCCCTTGACTCCATCTTCTTTTTTGTAATTATTCCTTCAAAACTCATATCCTAAATTGACTTTATCATTGTTTTTCTTTAACTTTTTCGATATTGAGATTCGAGATTTACGCTTTTTAAAAAAAATGCGCAGATCGGGTGAATAATGGCGACGTTTGAACTTTACCGGAGGTCAACGATCGGGATGTGTTTGACGGAGACTTTAGATGAGATGGTTTCAAGCAGTACTCTAAGCCCTGAGCTCGCTATTCAGGTTCTCGTCCAGTTCGATAAGGTACAACTTACAATCTTGTTCCGATTTTCTCTTATTTTCCGTGGATGATTTATTCATTTATTTTGTTTGCGTTTTTTTAGTCTATGACTGAAGCCTTAGAAAGTCAAGTGAAGAGCAAGGTTTCCATTAAGGTATATTCTTTTTACTTAAGTAGGAAATGGAGATCCTTTTGTTTTATTTATGCGGTGATGTGATGTTTCTATGAACAACTGGGGTGAAATATTTCTTTTAGATCTGTTTGTTAAGGGCAATGTTTAACCTGATAGTTTAATATGGTCCCTAGACCTTCCCATCCCAGAAGAAATATAATTTCCACCATTCATGAATGATGAAAGATAATTGTAATGGTACCAGAGTTGCATATATGGTCCCTGATTGTGGTAGTAATTGGTTATTTTTTCAGTATGCATGATTTGCACTTATCCGATGGGAGTGCTAGCAAGCAGAACACATTATTGCTTGTATGATATGTATGTCATCATGTCAAATCTGTGCTTTGGATCAGTGTTGATGATTTGTAGTGCAGGGTGAACACATCTTAATTATATATTCAAAGCTTCAATTGTGCCAAAAAAGTTGCGTTGTTTTAGTATATGCGAGAGAAACATTTTCAGGGCACCTGAAATAACGGTCCTGTGGAAAGCTTTCCTGTTTGATAAAGTTATCTATCACATAATAATGTATTTTCGTTTTGGTACATATTTCCTTGCTTTCCGAAAACTGTCGAAACTGGTAGTTGGTAACAATAACATGGCTCCTTTGATTGCTCGTCATTATGTTTTCTAATTTGTGTTTCTTTTTCTACGTAGCTAAACTTTTAGCTTTCTTCTACTAGGTTGCTTCGACATTAATTTCTTTTATGTACCCATGTTTGAATCATATTTGGATATAGATATGCCCCTCAAAGGACTCCAACTACTTGGAAACTTCAAAAATAATTGAGCTTGTTCACGTTGGATATGTACCTGTATCTTGGGTTTCACACTCGAGTTTGAGTAAATATAGGGTTGTTGCTATTTATTTTGACCATTCAACATTTATTTATTTTTTGATTGAAATAGGGTAGGCCTCATTAAAAATCCCCTTTTTAACCTCCATGTTACTACAATAACATAAAGGGCATTGGAAGGAGGAAAAGAGTGCCTAGTAATTTATAAATATCAAAATAATACAAAGCCATGTCCTAAGAATTTTCTGTTACAACATAAGACTTAAAAACCCCACAAAGAACATAAATGACCAACTCAATAGCAGAAACCTAACCCATACCCTAATAATCATCCTATACCTTCTTTAGCTAATATATTTGCTTCACAATTAGCAGCTCTCACAATATGCCTAACAATAACCTCTCTACTCTCCACTAAGACAACAATGTCTTTCACCAAAGACTGGAACATAGGAGTACATAAAGCTGGATTTTTAATCCATTTCAGAGCAGTTAGGGAATCTGATTCGAGGATGACCCTTGGAAATGAAGCGAAAGCTTCCTCCTCCATAATCAACAGCCCTCTTTTGATAGCCAGTAACTCTGCAAGAATAGGATGACCCCCCCAATCCTTTCAGAAAACGAACCATGCTGCAGCCCTTCAGGATCCCTTATCAAGCCACCTATGCCTCCTTTATCCCACTCCTTAGACAACGCATCATCAACATTTAACTTAACGAAACCTGAGGGGGGAGGAATCCAGCAGGAGGAAGGAATACTACCCTTCTTACCCCCCAAATCAGCTAGTCCAACATCACCCACAAGAGAATCGAAGTGGATCTGAACATCTCTAAATCTCGCAACAAACCATGATGCAATTCGAAAACGAACAAGAAAGAACAATAGCATACCATCCACCTTTCCTTTCCCAAAAATAATTTCATTTCTGCACTTCCAAATCGACCACAACACCGCCCTAGGGATGAACTTCCAAATGGTGGAGTTCGGGACTAACTCATCCCAAACAATTATGAAATCCAATAGTGTCCAAGGAGCAACAAAAGATACATTCCAAGATGACAAAAATCTACTCCACAAACCCCTTACAACCTCGCAATGTACAAATATATGAGAAACCGACTCAACACACTTACCACACAACGGACAAGAAGAGTCTTCAATCCCTATTGCTCCTCGCTTTATCAATTCCTCTCTAACTGCCACTCTCTGGTGAGCAGCCTACCAGACAAAAGTTTCCACCCTTGGAGGAGCAACCCCTGCCTATACAATGCTGTCCCAAATGCCTTCATCTTCCTCATTACCGACCCAATCAAAATAGCACTTAACACAAGATTTAGCTGAAAAACAGCCCTCCCCATTCCCTGTCCAAACCCAGCAGTCTTCTTGCATGGATGATAGAGATGTGGTATTCAACAAGGACATAAGCTGCAACCACTGTTCCACCTCCCAATCCATCAAATTCCTTCTCAATCTTATATCCCAGCAGCACCCTGAAGGAGAATTTTCTCTAAACTCTGCAACTTTACCCTCTTTATTTGTGATAGAGCAAAAATCCTAGGGAACCTAACTTTTAAAGGAATCGAACCCAACCATGAATCCTGCCAAAATTGCACTTACTCTCCATTCCCCATCTTCATACACAAGTTCTTCCTCAGACAGAAATTGTTTAAATTTCCCTTCCAAATCCAAGATGCCCGAGAGGACAATGAGTTCGCAATCAAACACAAATTAAGTTCAATATTATACACACAACAAACCACCTTTTTCCACCATGAATCCTTCTCCGTAGCAAATTTCCATACCCATTTACCCAAATGAGCTCTATTTAAAAGAACCAAATTCGGAATTCCCAATCCCCCAACCTCTTCGGCTTGCAAACCAGTTTCCAATTCACCCAATGAATATTCCTCTTCTCAGACGAACCCCCCCAAAGGAAGACAGCCATAATGGAATTCAATTTCTTAACCACACCCACTGGAATTCTAAAAAGAGAGGAAATATGTGGGAAGAGAACACAAGACTGACTTCTCCAAAACTGCCCTTCCAGCTAGAGATAGGGAATTGACCTTCCAACCAGCCAATTTTGAGTGAAATCTTTGAACAATTGCCTCCCATAAGGCTGCAGAATTCCTCTTGAACCCCAACGGTAAACCTAAGTATTCTGTTGGAAAAAACCTACTGAACAGTCGATTTCCTTAGCCCAACCTGCTAACACGTCCGGTTCCACATTAATATCATAGATTTTACTCTTAGATAAATTCAATTGCAAACCCGTCAACAATTCAAAGATTAGCAACACCCTCCTAACATTCTTCAAGTCTCGTACAGAAGCCTTACTAAAGATAATGAGGTCATCCGCAAATTGCAAATGTGACAGCATAAATAACCTCTCCTGATTTCCGAAAATAGTCCTTTTTCCAGTGCTTTAGCCAACATCAAATGTAGCAACTCTCCAACCAAATTAAACAGTATTGGAGATAACGAGCAGCCCTGTCGAAGTCCTCTTAATGTTTGGAATTTTTTTGTAGGTGTCCCATTAACTAAAACTGATATTGTTGTTGTTGACACGCATTGATTAATTTAAGAATACCACTTAACCCCAAACCCCATTTTACACATTATTTTCATCAAAATAGAACAATCTACCGAATCATATGCTCTTTTAAAATCTACTTTAAACACAACCCCCTTCAAACCCTTTTTCCTCCAATAATCGGTACCCTCATTTGCAATAAACGAACAATCCATAATTTGTCTCCCCAGTATAAACGCAAATTGTGTGGGACTTATTATTTCATTAATGCAAAGACTCAACCTTCTAGCCAGTACCTTAGATAGGATTTTATATAACCCTCCAACAAGGCTAATAGGCCTAAAATCTTGTAACCCCTTCGGATTCACCCTCTTAGGAATAAGAGAGATAAAAGAGTGATTCACCTCCTAGTCCCATTCCTTCCCTTGGTGAAACTCCCTAAAAAACACCACCAAGTCTTCTTTTAGATTTCCCCAAAATTTCTTTAAAAACCCCAAATTCAACCCATCAGGGCCAGGTGCTTTGTTGCTGTCCGAATGAGCAATTGCATCCCATATTTCTTCTTCAGAAAATGTATTTTCAAGAGCCCTGTTTTGATCTGTTGAGAGTTTTAAAAACTCCAAATCCAAATCTTCCACAACCAAGGTGTCCTTTTGATTAAACACCCCTTTGAAGAAATCCTCCACTGAGTTCTTGATTAAAATAGGATCCGAAATAACATCACTGTTCACTTTTAGAGTCTTAATCCTGTTCATCCTTCCTCTAGCTCCTGCACTTTGGTGGAAAAATCTTGTATTCTTATCTCCATCCAAGTTCCACTTCATTCTTGATTTCTGAAGCCAAATCGATTCTTCTTTCTTGTACAAATCCCATAATTCTTTCTTCGCTTCCACTAAGAGCTTCATAGACAGCAATGAACTACCTTGTTGCAAATCCAATTCCATCACCTGAATATCATTCTCAAGGCTGTTAATTTTTGCAGGAATGTCAAGATAACTTTTTCTAGACCATCTTTTGACCGCCCCCTTAACTCCCTTCAACAGATTAGAAATGGCATTGTTCTTTCCCTGATTTCGAAGATTCTGCAATTCCTCCTCCATCATCTCACAAAAACCAGCCTCCTCCAATACATAATTAAACAGCCTGAATGGTTTAGGTCCCCAGTTAATTTCACAGTTTTCCAGCAGAATCATATTATGGTCCGAAACCGACCATTTATAAATATTTTATTAGTGACAAACATTTAAATCAACATACAATCTAGCATTGCCATGCAAAAGCCTTGCTGTTATTTACATTTGGATGCTGATTGTCTTGTATGTTTATGCTACAGGGACATCTGCACACCTATAGATTCTGCGACAATGTTTGGACTTTCATCTTACAGGATGCTTTGTTTAAGAACGAAGATTCTCAGGAAAATGTTGGTCGAGTCAAAATAGTAGCATGCGACTCAAAGCTGCTCTCGCAATGAAATGCCAAATCAGTGTTGGGTATGATGATGGTTTAAGGGGACTGTTGACTGAAGATTGGACGATATATATATATTACATATATGTTAATTGTAAGCCATCAACCTTTATGGATGAATTTTTCTTTCTTCATTTTATTTTTCTTCATGATAACATTATGGAGGTGAAATTTTTTAGAACAAAACGATGAAACCTATTTATATATGACAAGAATGGTTTGTATCTAAGTTATTCAGACTTGGTGTCATTTTTTTATACGTGCGTGTGTAGATAGTGCATTTATTTTTTTAAAAAGTTCTCATGTATTAGATAGATCCTTGAAGGGTCATATCTTTGTACTGAGGTTCGAGCATTGTGATATTATATCAATGTTAGGTTTGTCACCTATTTACTACCTAATCCCATGTGAAATTGAGTACCATTAGTGAAGTCGTGCATGTGTTGGCTTGTATATTACTACATGGTCGGGGAGTGTCGATTGGTGTTGTCTCATGTATGTTATGTATCGGGTTTTTTGCGGTGTGATATTAAAATAGAGTTGTTGATTGCCTTGGGGTTGGATGCTTAACAGATTCTGAGCATATCTAGGTTTTACAAGTAATGTAATTTTGGAAACACGACGAAGAGTTCCTTGTGTGATGGTTAGGGTGAGTAGTTCATCCAATAGAGTGAAAAGAATTCGAGTTAATATTTCATCATTTAAAGTTTATTTGAAAATTGTTTAGTTGAATTAAATGTATCGTCAAATTTAATTGTGGTTGATGAGTTTGTAGTGGTAATAGTAGACATTAATAGAGCATATGAAATGGTATACAATATATGAATCCAATTTAGAAGTCTAAAATGCTACAGTATCAAAATATAGAACTTTTAGAAAGAAACAAAATGTGAACTTGTAGTTGAACTATAGTCCATGGCTGTGACCTTTGACTCCCTTGTATTGGATTACTTCACTTCATCAAAACATAAAACTTGAACAAAGTAAAAATAATCTTAGTATTTTGTTTTTACCCTCATTATATATAAATGTGTAGTCACAACTGGAATCTAAGCATAATTACCCCCAACATAAAATTTATGATTTATTAATTAAAATATTTGACTAAGAACTCCAAAGCTCCCCTGATTCTGTTGCTATTAGTACTTGTTATACAAACATCCTAGATAAATAGAATGTAAAAAAAAAATCAAATATAACTATAATCCGAAGTGAAGTTTTGCTCAACTGTTCTTTGAACATCCGAGTTGTAATTTTTCAATTCAACTGAAAATTAAAATTCAAGTTAATTCAGAAAATCGAACTCAATTAAATTAACTCAAAGTTTAAAAAGATAAATCGAGTTTTAATCAAATAAAATTTTGTTCACCTCGTTAATAATAAGAACAAAATATATCTCATGTCACTCAATTATCAGTCCAATTATAAACGAATGATATATTTTAAAGATTTTAATTTAATGACTCAATTATAATATCATTACACACGTATCACTAGGTCGTTATTTTTTTATTAATCTGGGGTATGTACAAGATATTATCTGTTCAAAAATAACTCATCGAACACTCACACCCCTATTATTCCTGGTGCTCGAACCCGATACTTCAAAGAATAACAACAATTCATTTACCACCGAGGTCGCTTGATTCATGCATATCGTTAAATATTAAATGTAATAGTGATATGACCTAGTATAATTATAGTTTTAGTCCTTAAAATTTATATATTATATCAATTTAATCTTAAATTAAAATAATTCATTAAATTTAATCTTTCAAATCTAAAAAAATTCATCAATCTAATCATTGTTCTTCTCCTAAATTCCTCATGTATCTTCCATAAATATTATATTATTTTTTGAATTAAGACTAAATTGATAAAATATATACATTTTTGGAGACTAAAATTATTGTTATTATATTAGGTCACGTATTATTGTTATTATGTTAGGTCACGTTAGACTTTCTTTTCAAATTATGAAGATAGAATAACCTATTTGTAATAATATTTTATTAGTGGTTAAATTGTAAGTTTATAGGAAAAAATAACCTATTTGTAACTGAACTAATAATTGAGTGATTTGAAAATGCAGTTTACTCAAATTTCATTTATTATATCCGAAGTTTGAGTTTCTTTCTTCTTCGGTTAAGGCACTTGAAGACAACTTTCTGCGAACTTTTTAGAGAAGAAAAAGGTTGTGATTAATGTTTAGGTGCCTTGCCTTGAATTTTTTACACCTTTTTTTCCCTTCATATGTAGGGACTTCTCCTTTTCCTTCTTTTTCATATGAATACGAAAATTCGGTTTCTTTTATCATATTTATTCTTTCTATTAATTGTTAATGTCTAAAATATTATATATCAACATATACAACGATTAGTAGCTCATGAACTCTGGCAATCACAAAATTTACAGTTAAATAATATGTTTGGTATCTCAACTATCACTTTTATTCTATTTTAGTCATTAACCTATTATTTTTTAAAAATTATATCTAACTTTATATTGTGGTCGCCCGTCATTTAAAAAAATTAATAGAATTGTTGATGAGATATTTAAAAAAAAATGATGATGCGATGTTACCTTAGCTTATGATGACATGACAATATCACCGTTAATTTTTTAACGATGTGTGACCAAAACATAATTTGGTATGATTTTGAAACAAAAAATAGTTGAATGAACAAAATGGAATAAAATTGATAGTCAAGGTACTAAAGTGTAGTTTACCCTAATATTTATCCTAATTATGCTTGAGTCTCTCTTTAGGGAAGACTTTATGGTTCTTACATATTACCAGTGAAATTAGAATTGCAGAGAGGAAAATGGCAATTCTTCTGTAATATTTTACCATAATTATTTGTTTATTTGAATAAATGTCATAAGTATATTGTTTTATATAAAATGATTTTTTCACTTACATTTTGAGTATGATAAATTTTATTTTTATATAATTTTTATACGTTGATAATTTGTTGCGAATAAAATGTAGTATATTTATATGTTTACACTGTATTCATTTGATTTCATATTATGTTGTAATGTATTTTTTTGTTCATTCTCAATGCTGTATTTGATATTACAGATAATTGCATAGGGGTCCCCAAGTTATGACCTTCTTTTAAATGATCCCACAATTTTAAAATATTTTAGATTATACCTTAAATTATGACCCTATTCTAAATTGATTCATAAGTTTAAAACATTCTATATTAATCCTCAAATTATAATGTCATTTTAATTTTATCAGTTCGTGAACATGTCATTAACTCTATTGGTTAAAAAATAATTTATTTTTAAAGGTTATGAGAATTGAATATGTGACCTTTTAAAAAAGACGAGCTGTTTGGACTTTTACTTCATTGATTAGGTGCAGGATTTGGCATTTATTTTAAATTTTAAAGTTAATTTGATATATTTTCTAAAATTTAAATATTAAATTGTATTTTATGTGAAATAAAATTGTATATTTATTAAAAAATATTTTTTAAATACGAAATTCTAATGTAAATTAGTTAAACTTGATATGATCCAATATGTAAACATTCTTTTAAAGCAGTCATCAATGTTTATACAATTTGGAAAGCAAGTTTAAGGTACAAAAAGTAGGTATCTTTACTTTTAAAATAATTATTTAAAACCCTTAAGAGATAAGCAAAAGAGACAAAAAAAGCTTGCTTAAATGTGTTTTAGTTATTTATTTAAATATTATATACAAGTATAAAATAATGAGAATATGATTATAATAGTATTAATTATAAGTAAAAGCATGAGAAATTTGATACTTTTTTATTGAGTTGGTGTCGATTAAATTGTGATATCAAATTCAGTTAGAATTTTAATTATAAAATAAACATTACTGTTTATTTTAAATTAAAATTTTATTATTAAATAATAATTCACATTAGGTAGACCTAAGTTTTTAAACCCTCATCAAATTTTAATTTTTATATTTATTAATATAATATTTTAAATCATTTTTAATAATTTTGAATAAATTTTAAATAAAATAATTTGAACATTTTTTTAAAACAAAAATAAGATGATAATTTATTTTAAATATAAGTTTTAAGAATGAAAATCAACTTAATATTTTTAAATTAAGTGATAAGTAGCTAACTACCCACCTATCTAATTTAACACTTTTTTGTTGAAAATTTTATACTAAATAAAAAATTTAAAAAGATAATGAAAAACAAAAAAAACATCAACTATTGAAAAATTTATTTTTTCAATGAAATGAAAAAAAATTAAATGATTTATTAAACAAGCCCTAATACTAATACACTTAAAAAGAATTTAATTAATTTTGTAAAATAAAAGGAATAAATTGACAAAGAAAGAGGGGTAGAAAGAAAAAAGGCATAGAAAAGCTAGAATGAAAAGTAAAAATAGTAAAATAGAAGGGCCAGAAAGCAAAAACCTAGTTGCAAAAATGACCCTTGCTTTGTAGCGTCAAAGGACTGTGTGTCAGTTGCTCTCTCAATAAAACTTTTACATATTTATATTTCGATCCTTTTACTATTTTTCCTTTCAATTTACGCTTCAGAGACCCTAAAATTTCCCTTTTTCTCTGATCCCTTGGCTTTCGGTTTCTTCTTAAACAAACACACCAAGTAAAGTCACCCACAAAATCAAAACAACCATAGCCTCCGCCCCTCTTATATATCTCCGCTCCCTTTTTTCGCTTTCGGGTGTTTTCTCTTTCTGTTTCATCGTTATCTTCGAAAATCTCTCTCGAATTATCTTGAATTTCATGCTCTATAATTTGGATGTCTAACAATCCATCGATTTTCTCCATCTCCTTTCTCAGGTCCTCTCTCTCGCTCTTTTGGACTATTAGTGTTCTTTATATTTCATGTAATCTAATATCTGATATGTTTTGAATGTTTTCGATTCTTAATCAATCTTTGATGTTCGTAGTTTAGGTCGTGATTTTGTGCTTTATTTATTTATATTTATTTTTTGGGTGTTTCTTTGTAGTTATTGAAAGTAGAGAAGTAGAGGCGAGATGGCGAATATAAGATCGACTTTGCCTTCGAGGCTTCGCCAGCTTTTGTCTGGTGAAACCACCATCACTCCTTATATCAAACTCGACTCTGAGCCCGTAAGTCATTGTTATCGTTATTATTATTTTTAATTTTTACTTGTTTAGTTTTTCCGGAAAAAATGCTTTCGGGTTAGGGTTTATCAGAGTCAACTACTGTTTGGTCGAATCCTTTAGGGTTTTCAATCATTACTCTATTGTCCTAGTAATTAGTATTTTAATAATATGCTTGTTAATTTACGCTTCCTCTGTTAAGTTTTGGTTGTTATGTTGGAATGTTTAGCTCTTAGTTTTAAAAGTTGGAAGGTGCACCTATACGCAAAGAGTCTTCTGGTGCCTAGGTGCAAGGCACAGGACGAAGGGTGCGTTCCTTTCGTAGGCGTGGTGTATTTTTTGTGCTAAAAAGTTTTATAAATCAATTCTGAAACATATCCACATCCACTAACCACTGGTTCACTCCTGAAACACTTAATCTTCTTCCCACACTATGTTCCATCACCATTGCTTGTTCCCTCCTCAAGAGTCAAGATCCATTTATACCATTTACAAAACCTTAACTTCCAAAACACTTCAACAGAAAGTTAGGGTTACACTATAATAAACTAATGATTGCATGTTTAAATCCGAAGAACTTAATGTATAAACTAATATAAGTGGTGTATTTTGATTTTCGAGTTAAGTTAATTATTTTATAATATGTGAATATAGTAATTAATTTTTATTGTAAAGTAAAATAATGGAATCTTTTATTATTTTATTTAAAAAATTATACAATTTTTTGTTTTGTTAATTTTTTCCATCGGATTTTCTCATTATATATTTCTTATTTATCTTTATGTTAAATATATTTTTATCTTAATTGCATTTTTCCCTATTATATTTATTATATTATAGGTTACCTTTATTATATTAGAATATAACAACAAAGAAGGATGAGGGATAAGGTGGCACTATTCTATTTATTATATTAATATATTATATTATGTATTAGCTTTATTTTATTTGAGCAAAAGAACAAAAAAGGGTAAGCAAAAGAACATAATAAGGGTGAGATGCATAAAGCGGTGTTTCACCAAAAAGCTTCAAAAGCTGTGCGCCCGGTGAGCTTTTTGCATGTCGCTCTGGCTTTGCCTTTTGAGACGTTTTTCTATGCGGCTTGCGCCTAGGCGTGCTTTTTTTAAAACTAAGGTTTAGCACTTCAGTGATTCTACTGATTACTTCTCAGCTATTGTGCAGACCTAATAATGTTAGACACCAACATGATTACTTGAAAAATAACTAATACACGAGTGCTTCAAAATCCTTTTAATATGAATTATAAACTTATAAAAATTGATAAAAACATAAGGTACAATATTGGCCGACAGGATTATGTGCGTTTACTCATGAAGATCATTCCTACTGAGTAGGAATATGACGCTTTAAAATTAACTTAAAGATATTTTTTAACAATGAATGCTTGACTAGGAAATTTTTACATGTAGTTTGTCACCAACAGTTCTTATTATGTTCTCACACTATACATTTTCTTTTTGGGATAGAAAGTTATGTTAATAAATTGTGCATTTTATGTTATTTTACGCTTGGCATGAAGTTTTCTTCATGATTCTAAGCTTCCCTTGTTCTTATTGTTGTTTTTGTCAATATATGTATGGATTAACTCGTTTAACAGTTTGTATTCTTCCATTCAATGCTTTCTAAACCATTTCCTAGAGTTTTTAAACAGTTTATATTGATCCATGGTAGTTCTTTGGCAACCTTTTATTCCTGTAACAATTTTTTTTGATAGAAGTAGGAGGCCTCGTTAAAAACCTCCCTCATAGTAGTCCTATTCCCTAAGGAAAAGACCGACTAGCGGAAGGAGGAAAAGAGTACCTCATTATATTATTGATACAAACATATTACATAAGACTTAAACAAACAAACTCTCTTAAGCTGCCGCAGCTGAGATCATACACTCTGTAACAGAGAAATGGGTGAGGAAGCTAAGGCTTTGGTTCCTGAGTCATTGTTGAAGAAGAACAGGAGGAATGAAGAATGGGAGCTTGCCAAAAAGCAGGAGAATGAAGCTGCTAAGAAGAAGAAAGCTGAGAATCGGAAGCTGATTTTCAACAGGGCTAAACAATATGCAAAGGAGTATGAGGCTCAGGAAAAAGAGTTGATTCAGTTGAAGAGGGAGGCAAAATTGAAAGGAGGATTCTATGTTGATCCAGAAGCTAAGCTTTTGTTTATTATTCGAATCCGTGGTATCAATGCCATGCACCCGAGGACACGAAAGATCTTGCAGCTCTTATGTTTGAGACAGATTTTCAATGGTGTTTTTCTTAAAGTTAACAAGGCAACGGTGAACATGCTTCACTTGGTTGAACCTTACGTGACTTACGGATACCCGAACCTCAAGAGTGTTAGGGAATTGATTTACAAAAGAGGCTATGGGAAGTTGAACAAGCAGCGAATTGCTTTGACCGACAATGAAATTGTTGAGCAGGCTCTCGGCAAGTTCAGTATCATCTGTGTCGAAGATCTCATCCACGAGATAATGACTGTGGGACCTCATTTTAAGGAGGCCAACAACTTCCTTTGGCCCTTTCAGCTCAAGGCACCTTTGGGTGGTCTAAAGAAGAAGAGGAACCACTATGTCGAAGGAGGAGATGCCGGCAACCGCGAGAATTACATCAATGAATTAATTAGGAGAATGAATTAAAAAATGAACTTGGGTATTATATTTCTTTTTGGTTTAATTGGATCTGATCTAAATTTCTGTTGGAAGTTAAGAGTTTTGTTTAAGACAACATGGATATTGCTTTGTGCTGCCTTTGTTCTACATTTTGTGACTGGGCTTTCTCAAAAAAAAATAAGACTTAAACAAACATCATATCAACTGTCCTCTAAAAATACATAAAAAACATCTAATCTCACAATCACCCAATCCCCTCCTTTGCTAACTTATCAGCCTCACAATTACAACCCCTAGGTATCAATCTAAGAATAAAATCATTATATGAAACAATAGACGCAATGTCTTTTAGAAGGCTTTTAAAGAAAATAGGTGCTAAAGAAGAAGATTTAATCCATTCCACTGCCGACTTACAATCGGATTCAACAATCAACCTACCCTTCGAACACCATTTTGAAGATATAAATATCTCTAAGCCTTTTTTGATAGCTTTCAATTCTGCTAGAGGGGGAGGGCAAGCACCAACATTCTCTGAAAAAGACAGGAAAGTAGAGCGATTTCAATCTCTTAGAATTACCCCTATACCTCCTACCATTCCATTACCACTAACAGCCCATCAACATTCATCTTAAAGAAATCAACTGGAGGGGGACTCCAACAAAGCGAAAGCGTAGACCGTACTTTAGAAACTGAATGTTTGTCTGCCAGTGAAGGATTTGCTATCAATAAATCAACCTGAATATATACATGAGGATATTTGGCTAGAAACCATTTTGCTAATCTGAATCTGACAATGAAAAAAGCGAGATTCTGTCCAGTTTTGCTCTATCAAAAACAATGTCATTCCTTACTTTCCATATTGACCAAAAAGCAGCCCCCGGAATAAACTTCCATATATACGAACTACCCCTCAAATCAGACCACGAACTAAGAAGGTATGGGGGATCACGAGGCATAGCTAAGGAAATATTCCAGAAGTTGATTATTTTGTTCCAAAGCTCCCACAAAATAGAACAAGAGATGAAAAGATGCTGGACAGTTTCCTCGAACTGATTACAAAACAGACATACTATCTTCTCCTAAGGGAACCCCCTTTTTCTTCAACTCAAATCTGACTGCTAATTTCTGATGAGAAAGTTGCCAAAGGAATGTCTCAACTCTTGGAGGAACTAAACCCAACCAAACCCAATTCTTCCACAAAAAATTATCCTCAGGAAGCAAAGAGATAGACTTCCTACAACCTTTAACCGATAACAACCCATCACCCCTCCCATTCCACATTGAGAAATCATCAACTGAATCGGATAATCTAAAGTTGCTCACCTTTATCATTAAATCCACCCACTGTGTCGCTTCCCAATCACATAAATTTCTCGTTTGTATATTCCATTCCTATCCATTTGAAACAAAACTACCAAAATCAGTCACATAACCCCATTAATTTGTTGAAAGAGCATAAATCCTAGGAAATTGAATTTTCAAAGGAGAGTCCCCTACCCAAATATCATTCCAAAAAAGAATAGATTTACCATTACCAACTTGAAACTTCGTGTGAGATCTAAGGCAAACTCCCACTGAGTCATTCTTCATGAAGTTATTGACAATTTCTCTCCATATCCAAGAATCCTGAGAAGAGGAAACTCGGTTAATTGCCATGGTATTACAACTAACATTGGATTTGCAGCATATCAATTTTTTCCATGCTGACTCCTTTTCATTAGCAAACTTCCAAACCCATTTTCCCAACAAAGCATGATTGATAAGATTCAAGTCAAGAACTCCCAGACCTCCATTACTCAACTGTTTGCAAATATTCTTCCAACTCACCCAGTGAATTCTTTTATTTTCAGCTTCCGATCCCCAAAGAAAATTAGCCATCAAAGAATTGATCTTCTGACTTATTTTACAAGGCATCTTAAAAATAGATAAGAAGAACATGGGTACTGAAGACATAACTGACTTCAAAAGCGCCACTCTTCCAACCATAGATAAACAAGAGGCTTTCCACCCTGCCAACCTTTTGTTGAAATTCTCAATGACCGGTTCCCATAGTGACTCATAATTTTCCCCCCAAGAGGAAGGCCAAGATAAATCGAAGGGAAAGAACCAATTGAACAACCAATGGTCGATGCCCATTCTTGAAGGATGGCATTGTCCACGTTTATACCAAATAGTTTGCTCTTGTTTAAATTTAGATGAAGCCCCGCCATTAAGCTAAAAATCCTCAAAACTCTTCTGACATTTTTAATTTGAGTAAGAGAGGCTTGACAGAAGATAATAAGATCATCAGCAAACTGGAGATGAGACAGTCTAAAAGGATTCCCAAACTTACCATTAAGGCGGAAGTTGATTCTTGTTCTCTGTTCGTGTGGAGGTTCAGGAT